CGTTTCACTTGAAGGTAAGTAAAGAAGATGGATTGTTACAATATGATTTCTGATTTGTATATGATATTAATAAAATATTATCTATTGAAGTTATGGAATAGTCAATTGAATGAAAATATGAAAATCTGTCATATTCTATTCATGTTACATGAACTAATGTTGTTGATGAGCAATACGATGGACTAGGTGGTATTGAATTATTCCAATATATTGATGGAGAAATATTTGATTCATTGAATTTTTCCATAGTATATTTAGATATTATTTCTAAAGAAGCATTATCGTCATTATTCATTCGTAATTTCACGGCTGATGAATATTTTTCAACATCTAATAATAAATCCAATGATCCAGTACCAATCTTAGCTAATTGTCCGAGTAAAATCTTTTCATAAACACCTTTTAATGAATCATATTCTGAATGAGCAGCAGCTTCGATTAAAACATCAACAGTTTTTTCAAATGAACATCTCATTATAGGTTCAACATCTTGTTTATTAATTCTATGTCTTTTTATAGCCATTAAATGCCCTTTAGTTGTCATAACATCACATAATACAGCTAAATGTCTATAATTAATATAAGAACCATCAAATGAAATAACATAATTCATTTCACGTTTAATTGCTTTTCGTACAGCTTCAATTCCAAGAACATCAAATATTTCTACAACATCATTTGTATATGTTCGACATGAATCAACATTTTTAGTTGATAAAACTCTTTCTAAAGCTGTTCCATCAGTTTTTAATATCCACTCAGCAATTTTTTTCAATTTCTCCATTATGATTAATTTGAATTCTCTTTTGTGTATCATCAAATATTGGACGAATCATATAAACTTTTGATATACCCTCAATCCCTTGTAAAGTTAAATCAGAAAGCATTACAGATTGTAAACATTGAAGAAAAGTATTATCATCCATATGTCTTATATCGTTTTGTTCTTCTTCTGTTGATAAATTAATTTGATCACTAGCACGTATTCTTAAAACCAGTTTTTCAGCATTATCATCATTAAATATAACATTACGACAATCACCAAAACCTTGATAGATTTTTTCAGAAATTTGTTCCATAGTTAATTCTCTATCAGTCATACATTTTTTGTCTAATTCAATTCTTAATAACCATTGTGAAATATTTTTTATATCTTGATCAGGCATTTCATAATATGTATTAATCCATTCTTGATCTTCACTAATAACTGTTTCTTGTGGAACAGGATCATAATAAATAGCTGTATTAGTTGTTACTTTTCTTAATGTACAATGTTCAAGACGACATAAGACTTGTTTACATTGTTCAGCATAATTTCTTGCTTGTCCAGTTAAATAAACAGTTAATGATGGAGTTTTAGATTTGTTTTGATAGATTTATTATTTCTTTAAGACATGGAATACCAAGTGTTACATTTTTAGCTGATACATCAGCATAATGAAATGTATTTAATGTCATTTGTGTTATTGGTTTCTCAAGTGATTGTGCAGCTAAAGCCCCAACCATTTCACCTGCTTGAACTTAAGCTTGTTGAAAACGTATTTCAATTTCACCACACAGCCAATTAAATGCTTCATTTGTTAAACGATGAATTTCAAGAACTTGACGTGATGATAATGATGCACATAATAATAATATATTCATTAACATTGTTGCATTATATTGTGCTTCTTTAGATAATCTATCATCACCTTTAACAATCATTAAATGTTTAGTTAAATTTTGTAAACCTTGAATAACTTGTTTAGGTGATAAATTAGATTGTGTTTGATTTGCAATAGAAAAAATTTTTTTTAGCATTATAAATTAATCTTTCTAAATTACAAGGTAAAAAAATTTTTGATGTATCACCGTTGGAAATATTTGTCTTAAATTAAAAATATCTTCATTTAATTGTTTCCATTCATCATCTAATAATTGTAATGATTCATTTGTATATAAATCTCTAATAACATCATCAGTTAAAAATTTTCTTAAATATTTTTCTTCAGATGATAAATCAAATTTACATAAACGTTCAAATAATTGATTTGATGGTTTTAAAGATATAATTGATTGAAATTCAACATTTTCACCAGCTAAACCATCTTCACCATATGTAAATTGTATTAATTGTTCAAATTGATTTCTAACAGTTCCATCATATTTAATCATAACAGATTCCATGGCTTTAATTAAACGTTCTTGTATATAACCTGTTTCAACTATTTTAACAACTGTATCAATAAGACCTTCTCGTCCAGCCATAGCATGAAAATAAAATTCAACTGGTGTTAAACCTTGTAAATAAGAATTTTCAATAAAACCTTTAGCTTCAGGTCCATAATCATCTTTAATAAAATGTGGTAATGTACGATGTTTAAAACCAAATGGAATACGTTTTCCTTCAACATTTTGTTGTCCAACACAACCAATAACTTGTGATATATTTATAGAAGAACCTTTTGCACCACTAACAACCATTGCTTTAAATTGATTAAAATCAGATAATGATCGTTTTGCTAATAAACCAGTCTTATCACTTGCACTATTTAAAAGACCATTAACCATATTTTCAAATGTTTGTCTTAATGAATTTCCACGTGATAGTTCTAATGAATCTCTATGTGTTCTTTGAATAACTTTATTAACTTCATTTTTAGCTTTTTTAATTGTTGCTTGTATTGTTTCATATGTTTGTTGATCAGTAATTGTATCAGCAATACCAAATGAATGTCCTTCTAACATTAACCAATTATTAACAACAAGTTGTATATGATAATATAATTGTCCAGCAATATGATGACCACATTCCATAAAAACAATATGTGCTAATGAACCAACTGATGTACCTAATGTTTTTTTTACATAATATACCAGATAATAATCGACCATTTTCAATTAAAACTTTTGTATCACCAGGTGATATCCATGTATATGGTCCGTTATCTTCATCATCTGGATGTTGACTATGTGTCCGTATACAATTAACTTCTTGTGGAAGAATTAATGAAAATAATTGTTTACCAGTCCATAATGGTTTGGGTTTTAATATAGCTGCTTGTGGTATATGTCCATCTCATGATGGTAAAAACATTAATAAATTCATAAAATCACTTTTTTCAATAAATACATCACGTTTAGTCATTTTTTGAACCGCTGTTAATGTATCTTCTACAATACCCATAACAGGTCGATTTGATTGTGGTGTTATTATTAAACGTGGTACCATCATTAATTCAGATAATTCAACTTTAGCTTTAATTGATTGTGGTAAATGTAAATTCATCTCATCACCATCAAAATTAGCATCATAGGGTGTTGTTACAGATAAATTTAAACAAAATGTTGACCATGGAAGAATTGTAACACGATGTGCCATCATTAACATTTTATGTAATGTTGGTTGACGATTAAGTACAACTAAATTATTATCGATCATAAATCTTTCAACAATATAACCAGATTGTAAATGTTAATCAGATGGTTTTGGATGAAGACGAAGATCAATCTTATCACTTGTATCCAATATTATATATTTAGCTGCATTATGACTAATTAATTCTTGTAACCATTTAGTATTAAATGGTGTTACGATTTCAGGTACAGTTAAATTTCGTGCTATTGTATATGGTACACCAACTTGATCAATTGATAAATTTGGATCTGGTGTTATTACTGTTCTTGCACTAAAAACAACTCGTTTACCCATTAATTTTTCTCGAATTCGACCTTCTTTACCTGAAAATAATAAAACTTATATGTATATATATGTATATATATATGGGGTTTAGCAGTTTAGCTGAATGCCTCAACTATTTTTTATATCATGTAGCTTCTATAATACATTCGAGAATAACGATTTTTTTTACAAGTGATAGTAATACTTGTATAATACTGATGATCGATCAAGTTCAAGGAGTCTATACCTTGTTTAAAAACAAAATAATTAAAGTCATCATAAAATCTCTTACTAGTTATGAACATATTTTTTCGTGAGGTATGGATGTATTCATTACCCTTAATGTGTTCGAGCACTCATACCCAAGCTACATGATATGAAAAATAGTTGGGCCATCCAGTCAAACTGTTCAACCCCATATATATATATAGATAATAAAATAAAAATGTTGAACCGGCCAATCGTTTTTTATAGATTGTAATGGTTTTCCATTTTTCTGACAAGATTGTTGTATTCCAGGTATATCATTATCAATTAAAGTTGCACAATGATATTGAAGATCATTGTAAATGTTTTTCAATGATATGTGAATCTTCACGTAAAATAATATTTGATTTAATTATATTTGCTAAATTGTATGTCAAATCATCATAGCAATGAGTTGTATCATCAAATGATAATATTGATGGACAAATACATATAGGAGGAACTGGTAAAACAGTTGGAATCATCCAATCAGGTCGTGTTTGTTGAGGATTCATGCCGAGAATTTCACAAACTGAATCAGAAATTTTTCGAAATATTTCCAGAACTTGTGCAGCTGATAATTTTGATTTCGCTTCTTCATTTTCATTTAATGTTTGTTTCCATTCAATTGTGAATTCTAAACCTGATCGACGATAAATTGGTTGTTTTTTCCCCACAACCATCTGAATATTTAATTGTTACATCGTTTTCATTCTTAATTTCTTTAATAAAATAAAAAAAAAAGAAAATTTTCTAAAATAAAACTTCGAAGTAAAACTCAAACCTTGACAAATTTTTTGTCTTCTACATGCATTAACAATATAAGCAAGACGTCGACGATATTTTCCTTTTGTTTTTTTAATAATATCAATTATTTTTGAATCATTTGGATTGACGAATAGTTTCGAACAATAAAAACAAACACAACGTAAAACTTTCAATATTTTCGATAGGAAAGCAACATTATATACGGGCTTGATCACTATTAAACATCAATAAACTTTATCTATTTAATTAAATTTAAAAAGAAATGAAGAATAAAATAAAATACTAACATTCAATGTGA